TTTGAATGTAAGTACATTATTCTGGTATTTATGAAATGGTAAACTTAGCCCCCCATAGGATCTTAGGCCAAAAAACACTTTTTCTCATAACTGAAATTCAGTGTATCCAACTATTTAAGTACATTCAAAATAAACGCATGAGCAACAAAAGTGGCCTTCTAAAACCATACGCGGCGAGTAATTAGCGTGAGAAAAGAAATTAAAATTTTTGAGATATTATTTGGTAAAGTAATTATACATATATCAAATTGCGAACAACAGACAGCATGTTTTGGAGTACACTATATCAGATTTTGAACAAAATCGGTGAGATAAGATTATTTTTGGAAACGGTAAGTCTAACTAACCCCTTATAGAATTTTAGGCCAAAAACACTTTTTATCGGAATTGAAATTTAATGTGCCTAACTACTTAAGTACATCCAGAATAACACATAAACACCAAAAAGTGAGCTTGTAATACCGTAGGCCGTGAGTAATTAGCGTTAGAATATTCATAACAATTATTGATGTCATTTGGTCAAGTAATTATACACAATACACATATCAAATTGCAGACAATAGACAGTGCTTAGTTGCATATAATTGAACTACTTCTTCTTCTGTTTACATTATTTTTTGCTAATTAAATTCTATGTTTTCTATGACCTTTCCAGTCTCCCTCTTATAATTCTGTTTCTCTCTTTATCTCTCTCTATCTTTAATTAATAGTTTAATTTTCTAAACTCCAATCAGGATGGTCTACCTATTCTCAGCACCATATTATACAACACAGCCTCTCACCTGCTGCATACTGTACTCCTAATACAGCGAGAACATATTCTTGCTATAGTCCTCCTCCAGATCCCTTTTTGCACTTATTTACAACAACAGACTACAAGACACTCCACACCGCCTTCCTGCTTAACTACGTCTTTAGTGCGGAATCCCTGCTCCAAGTGTACCAGTAGACGGCGCCGGAGTTATCATGAACACTAAAGTCTAGGTATCATAGAGGGGACCTTTTAGCAGTTGCTAAATGTCTCGTGCAGTCCCCTTCACTCCTCTGCACCCAGGGGACACATCATCACCTCTAAATCGAAATCATTAATTTTGCATAAAAACTCTCTCTCTCTCTCTCTCTCTCTCTCTCTCTCTCTCTCTCTCTCTCTCTCTCACACACACACATTGTTTGCACATCATTATTAGAACAGCGTAAGGTTGTGTGAAAATCTTCATCCCCCCTTTATCGTAATGATGAAGCCAACAGGTCAATATCATACAGAACCATTAACATCATTTTAAAAGTGGGTTGGCGAAGGGGGGAAGAGCAAGAGGCGTACATAAATTGAAACACAGAATTCATTCGTGCAAGGGGCAATATTTTGTCACATACGGTGAGTCAATGGAACGTTTCTCTGTATTAGACCTTGAATAAATGTCACTATTTTTTTTTAAGTTTCACATAATATTCATCAATACAAAAGTGTTTTCATCATTTAGCTAGATCAAGAGGCATGTGTTAATAGTGATACAAGTAGATCAGGAAGTGTGTGGTAGAAGAGATACAGGTAGTTCAAGAGTCGTGTGTGGCAGTAGCGATACAGGTAGATCAAGAGGTGGGTATTAGTAGTAACGTAGGTAGATCAAGAGGTGGGTATTTGTAGTAACATAGGTAGATCAAGAGGCGTGTGTTAGTAACAACACAGGTAGATCAGAGATGGATATTACTAGTAACAAATATAGATCAAGAGGTGTGTGTTAGTAGTGACACTGGTAGATCAAGGGGTGTGTGTTAGTAGTGACACAGGCAGGTCAAGAGGCATATGTTAGTAGTGACACAGGTAGATCAAGAAGCTTATGTTAGTAGTGAATCAGGTAGATCAAGGATTTAGAAACAGGAGTCAAGTAACAGGTAGATAAAGTAAGGAGAGGGTATATTAGTAGTGACGCATGTAGATCAAGAGGCATGTTGTGTGACTGAGATAGATCAAGAGTTATGTGGCAATAGAGATATCGGTAGCTCAAAAGGTGTGTGTTAGGGACGCAGGTAGATCAAGAGGCGTGTATTAGTAGAGACGCAGGTAGATTAACAAGGTTAATAACCAGTAGCTCAAGAAGCGAATCAGTAGTAACCCAGGTAGATCAAGAGGCGTGTATTATTAATAACACAGGTAGATCAAAAGGTTTGTGTTAATAACACAGGTAGTGAGGCAAGTGTTAGTAGTAACACAGGTAGATCAAGAAGAGAGTGCTAGTTGTAACACAGGTGTATCAAAAGGTGTGTTAGTAAGGCAGGTAGATCAAGAGGTGTGTATTAGTAGTGACTATGGTAGATAAAAGGTGTTTGTTAATAGTAACACAGGTAGATCAAGAGGCGCGTGTTAGTAGTAACAGAGGTAGATAAAAGGTGTTTGTTAATAGTAACACAGGTAGATCAAGAGGTGTGTATTAGTAATAACAGAGGTAGATAAAAGGTGTTTGTTAATTGTAACACAGGTAGATCAAGAGGCGTGTGTTAGTAGTGACACAGGTAGATCAAGAAGCTTATGTTAGTAGTGAATCAGGACCATCAAGAGGTGTGTGTTACTAACAGAGGTACATCAAGAGGCGTGTCTTAGTAGTAAGACAGGTAGATCATGAGGAGTGTATTAGGAGTTACACAGGTAGATTAAGAGATGTGTGGCAGTAGTTACTAAGGTAGATCAGGAGGCATGTGTTAGTAGTGACTCAGGTAGATCAAAAGGTATGTGGCATTAATGATACAGGTAGATCAAGAGGTATGTATTAGTAGTTACACAGGTAGATCAAGAGGTGTGTGGTAGTAGTGACTCAAGTAGATCAAGAGGTAGATGTTAGTAGTATCACAGGTAGATCAAAAGGCAGGTAAATCTAGAGGCATTTGTTAGCAGTGACACAGATAGTGCAAGAGGTATGTGTTACTAGTGACTCAGTTAGATCAAACGGCATGTGGCATTAGTGATACAGGTATATCAAGAGGTGTGTGTTGGTAGTGACGCAGGTATATCAAGAGGTGTGTGTTAGTAGTGACACAGGTAGATCAAGAGGCGTGTGTTGGTAGTAACACAGGTAGTTCAAGAGGCGTTTGTTAGTAGTAACACATGTTGATGAAGTGATATGTATTAGTAGTGACACAGATAGATCAAGAAGCATTTGTTAGTAGTGACACAGAGAGTTCAAGAGATAATTGTTAGTCGTGACTAAGGTAGATCAAAAGGTATGTGGCATTAGTGATACAGGTATTGCAAAGGCCTGGCCTTTGGGATATAAATCCCTTGCCAGCCTAATCAGGATCTTATAAAAAGGAAAGTCAAGACCCATGGGCTTCCAAGGGGTAACAAACAACTGTTAGATATTGACATCTCTTTACTACAAAAATAATCACAATAATTTAACTCTGACACCACTCACACAAATATTAAATAAACAGCACTGGAGTCAAACAATTACTTGAAACAAAACAACCAATACAACAAAGTAGAGGTATTTCCTATGGCTGCAGATGAATATTCCTCCTAACCAGCACGGTGGAATGTTCTGGTAACGCGGTGATCAGCTCTCAGGGGGAAGGTCCAGGGCAGCTTCCTCACTTGGCGCCGGCGTTGGTGGGCGATGTCTTTCCACACTGGAGAGACACCAGGGTACGGACGGTGGATAGAGCGTGGAGGAAGTGGCGATCACGTGGCAGCCGCGGCAGTAGCTGGAGTAGGTGACCCGAGTTTACAGCGGAAGAGTGAAGGACTGGGGAATCAGCCTACGAGCCCTAGGAACCTCAGGTGAGTACACAACCAGAGATGGAATCGAACAGCGGGGTAAGTAGCAGCTGTGGTCAAGGCAGGATCGTGTCTGGCGTGCAACGAGGCAGCAGCCACTTTCTCACCTCTATCTACCCCCCCTAGTGAGGCCGCGAACAAGCAAACGAGTGGCGGACAACCATCCCACTCGTTACAGCCCTTACAGGTATATCAAGAGGTGTGTAATAGTAGTAACACAGGTAGATCAAGAGGCGTGCGATAGTAGTGACATAGGTTGACGAAGTGATTTGTATAAGTAGTAACACAGTCAGATAAAGAGGTGTGTATTAGTAGTTACTCAGGTAGATCAAGAGTTGTGTGGTAGTACCAACTTAGGTAGATCAAGAGGTATGTGTTAGTAGTAACACGGGTAGATAAAGTGGTGTGTTAGTAACACAGGTATATCAAGAGGCATATATTAGTACCTGTAGTGACTCTAGATCAAGAGGTATGTGTTAGTAGTAACATAGATAGATCAAGAGGAATGTGTTAATAGTGACACAAATAAATCAAGAGGCATGTGTTAGTAGTGACACAGGTAGACCAAGAGGTATATGCTAGTAATTACTCAGGTAGATCAAGAGGCATGCGTTATTAGTGACTCAGGTATGTCAAGAGGTATGTGGCATGAGTGATATAGGTAGATCAAGAGGCATGTGTTGGTAGTGACACAGGTAGATCAAGAGGTATGTGTTAGTAGTGACTCAGGTAAATCAAGAGGCGTGTATTAGTAGTAACACAGGTAGATGGAGAGGCGTGTGTTAGTAGTAACACAGGTAGATCAAGTGATATGTATTAGTTGTAACAGCTAAATAAAGAGATGTGTATTAGTAGTGAAACAGGCAGATCAAGAGGCGTGTGTTAGCAGTAACACAAGTAGATCAAGAGGTGTGTGGTTTTAGTGATACAGGTAGATCAAGAGGTGTGAGTTAGTAGTGTTATGCCATAACTTAGCATCTTAGGTTAAGTTAAAGTTGAATATAATAATGAGAGCACATATGTCAGAACAAAAACATATTGGCAACTCCGCACAACTTAATACTTAATTTTTTTGCTTAAAACTAATGTTATTTCAATACACGACAAAAAATGATAAAATTCAAAACTTATAAATATAAAGGACTAAATTGTGCGTTAGTTTCAATCACAGCCTTCTTACTTTATCACATCAGTTGAGGAGTGAAGGTTTGAAATTATACAAGACAAAAAATATTTAAATACTATTTAAAAACACAAGTTTTCAATAATAAATGTGCATGTTAAATAATGGATGGATAAAATTTGGAAATATTTAGCATTGGACAAACCATCGTAGGTAATGACTCCTTACCAAGTTAAACTCCACCTGGTTTTCCATCCTTAATAAACAATTAATATGTACCTAGTATATAATTTTTTTGCTTAAAACTAATGTTATTTCAATACACGACAAAAAATGATAAAATTCAAAACATATAAATATAAAGGACTAAATTGTGCGTTATAGTTTCAATCACAGCCTTCTTACTTTATCACATCAGTTGAGGAGTGAAGGTTTGAAATTATACAAGACAAAAAATATTTAAATACTATTTAAAAACACAAGTTTTCAATAATAAATGTGCATGTTAAATAATGGATGGATAAAATTTGGAAATATTTAGCATTGGACAAACCATCGTAGGTAATGACTCCTTACCAAGTTAAACTCCACCTGGTTTTCCATCCTTAATAAACAATTAATATGTACCTAGTATATAAACCACAAACCACATTATAACACAGTAATTGGATGCACTTTACACACAATACATAATAATAGAGCAACACTGAAAATATAATAACTACTTAACTAAGCCATATTAGAGAAGGTGTCCACCACTGACTGACCCAGACGTCCTGTTAGACCAATGCCCAGCCATGACTCCCAGAAACACACCTGTGCACCGGTGAACTGCAAGCTTAAACAGCATTAATAAAAAACAATTATTACAGTAATCTGTAAAAATAGTTAAACATTCATACATTGTAGGCCATAATTTTAGGTATTAAGTATCAGTTTTATTCACCAAAAAATATATCAAATATTTTACACACAATTTACCATGACACGTAATCATCCTAGTAGGTAGTAGGTAGTAGGCAGCTACCAAACAGGGAGGTACTACCGCCTGGGAAGATATTGGAAGCATAATGTGTTGTCTAATGATAGGCCCTGCTGCCATATGGTTGTAGATCTGACTTTCTGCCTCATTTACACACAATTGCAGGGTCTCAATTGTTTCTCTTACTTTTGACAACACAACATGCATACAGTATATTGTTTCTTACTTTTGTTCGTTTTCTTTTTTTTCTTTTTTTTATTTCTTTATGGTTCTTTATTATTATTATTATTATTATTATTATTATTATTAATATAATTAATATTATTATTATTATTATTATTATTATTATTATTATTATTATTTTATTTTATTTTTTTATTTATTTTTTATTTATTATTATTACATTTTTGGTTCTTTATTATAATTATTATTATTATTATTATTATTGTTATTATTATTATTTTTTTTTTTATTATTATTATTACATTTTTGCCCCCCAAGCCCCAATGTGGGTCAGTGACCTGTGCCTGGAGTAGGGAAATCCTTGTTAAATACATAAGTCAAATATTTTACTGTACATAATGCAATACACTACTGTGCATAATGCTATACATAACACCCCCTCCTTAAATAAAACCAGTAGGGTTTTATATTGGCAATACGAAGTTATCAGATCTGCCTAATATGGCCTAGAAATGGTATCAGTAATAATGTTATCTTCACCCTTGATATGTCTGATTTCAATATTATACAGTTGAAGAGCCAAACACCAGCGAGTTAATCGTTGGTTTTTGTTTTTCATGCGAGTAACAAACTGCAAAGAGTTGAGGTCGCTATATACAATGATTTTCTTGTGGCTGTTTCCAAGGTATACATCAAATTTATCTAGTGTCATTAACAATTCAGCTGCCTCTTTCTCAATTGTAGAGTAATATTTTTGAGAAGGCTTCAATTTAGTAAACATGTAACATACCGGGTGCAGAACTTCATTATCTCCTGCTTGCAATAAAACTGCCCCAGCTGCTACGTCACTCGCATCTATCTGTACAACAAATGGCTTGCCAAAGTTTGTGCCCTTTAATACTGGTTTAGAAATCAAAATTGAATTAATGTTCTCAAATATCTCTTGACAACTTTCCGTCCACACAAAATCCCTTTTAGGACTAACTAAATCAGTTAATGGTCTCGCAACATCAGAAAAGTTAGGGCAGAATCTCCTATAATACCCTGCCATACCCAAAAAGCATTGGACTGCCTTACGGTTGGTGGGAATGGGTAAGGTATCTATGGCCTCAATTTTAGCCTGGACTGGGGCCACTCTCCCATAATCAATCTCAAGCCCTAGAAATACGAGTTTGGCGTGGCTAAACTCACTCTTAAGGAAGTTAGTAGTGAGCTAAGCACTATCAAGACGACTGAACAGACACCGAAGTGACTCAAAATGTTCACTCTAGGTAGAAGAGAGCACAACTACATCGCCAGGAAATGCTCTGACACAAACCCCCTAATTCTCAAACTAGATCTATTTCTAGAGCTGATACCATTTCATCTATCAATGGGGATTTGTGCAGTATCTCCAACTGGGGACGTAAAAACTTGGTTATATTCAATAGTAATAAAACTCAGTATTTACCAATTACACTTTCCAAATTAGATGAACTCCCACCAATCACATTTCAGTACACAATCAGTCTGCCAAGTTCTAAAATAGATATGCTCGGTCCCACCATTTCTTCTAATATGTCATGGAAGCCAGACATCCACAACACTGCTAAAGCTGCCTCCCGAGAACTAGCACTGCTTTACAGATGCCGCAGCTACTTTACTCCTGAGCAGTTGCTTCAAGTACTGGAGTACTGCTCCCATATCTAGGGTGGCTCTTCTTCTGTCCAAATGTGGCATCAAAGATATTTCGTCTTATTAACTATCCTCCTTTAGTTAATAACCTTTCTTCCTTTTTTCTTCGCGGCAATTTTGCTTCACTCTCACTCTATTACAGGTACTTTAACGGGCAATGTTCGGTGTATTTGGCATCCTGTGTACCGCCGGCAAGGCCGTGGGCTCGTAACATTCGTTTTGCCCGCGGTGCCCACAGTCTCTCTGTGGCTGTCGGTCACACTAGAATGACCCGTTATATTACATCCTTCTTTCCTCACACAGCCAAATTGTGGAATGCTCTGCCTTCTTTTGTGTTTCCATACTCATGCAATCTGTCTCAATTTAAAAAGTTGGTTTTCCAGTAACTTCGTGGTGTAGATTATTATAATCTTTCTATTCTATTTTTAATTTCTTTTTTTACTCTTATTTTTTCGCCCCCTAGGCCCCGTTGTGGGTCGATGACTTGTGCCCAGGTGGGCTATTTCCCATAAAAAAAAATGTTGGAAAGTTGGAGGGGAGTTACGCATACCAAATGGCGTAACATTATACTGATACAAGCCATAAGGGGTAACAAATGCCGAAATGCGTTTCGCCCACTCTTACCAATAAGTCAATCTTTGTAATGTACTTTGCATCACCCACTGCATCAATTATATAATCAATATGGGAAAGGGGAGAAACTGTCTGCCTTTGTGATGGAGTTTTCTTTTCTGTAATCAGTACACATTTTCATAGTACCATCTGACTTTGGGACCAGAACACAAGGGGATACCCATTCACTGTCACTAGGTTCAGCCAAGTTATTGTCAATCAACAACTATACTTCGTCTTTGGGAATGCCAATTTTCCGGGGAGACATGCAGTCGGGTGCTTGTTTCACTGAGGCTGCGTTGTCCAGAAACACAACATCATGGGTCACCAACGGGCTGGGCTGCGGCACTTCATCAAAGATGGGCTGGAATTCTGTAGGAGACACATTACATCGCTCCTCTGGTCCTAGTAGATGGCACAATTTAGAAGAAGGATCACTAAACACATCAGAATTGTTCAGTTTGATATCAGCTTTCAACTCCCCAATGCCATGCTTAGGTAACTAATTCTCCTCCAATTCATCACATGTCACAGTAATGCACACCACCTTATCCTGTTTAGCACAATAGGGTTTCAACAGGTTCACATGTACTAGTCTTTTAGTCTTCCTTCGTCCAGGCTTTACAATGACTTAGTTAATATCTCCCACTTTAATCAAAATTTCAAAGAGACCCTGATATTTAGCTTGTAAGGGAAACTTCCTTATGGGCAAGAACAAAAGCACATTATCCCAAACATTAAATTTGCTATCTTCTGCAGTTTTATCAAATTTACTTTTCATTTTCTCTAGGCTTCTTTCATATTACACCTCGCAAATTCCTGTACATGGTTCAACCTTTCCTTCAAATTAACAACACACTCATTTACAAGACTTGATTCATCTACTTCTACCCAACCCTCTTGCAATAGTTTTAAGGAACTACGGATATCCCGGCCAAATATCAATTCACTTGGAGAGAATCACAAACTAGACTGTTTAATATCTCTGATAGCATACAATAGACATGGAATTCCTACATCCCAATCATACCTAATTCATGCTCTTGAAAGTTTAGTGGAATCTCTCAAGAGCACCTTGACTCCCAGGGTGGTAAATACTGTTTGATGCCTTGCAAACACATAACCTCCAGAAATACCTTTGAGGTGAAGTTGGATCCTTGGTCTGACTGAACAATGCGGGGGAGTCCAAACTGTGTAAATAACTTAATAAGGGCAGGAATTATAATACAGGCCGTAATGCGAGGCACAGGTATAGCTTCCGGATATCTAGTGGAAGCACACATCACAGTTAACAAATATTCATTGCCACATTTTGTTTTAGGACACAATCAATGATTACTTTTGAAATTGTTCATTAGCAACAGGTATAGGTTTTAAAGGAGCAGGTGACAACACTTGATTGGGCTTACCAGCTAACTGGCATACATGACATGCACAGCAAAAATCTGCTATGTCTGAGGAATCACCAGACCAATAGAAGTACCTCAAAACTTTAATTGTGGTCTTCTTTACACCAAGAGGTCCTCCAATGCTATCATGGGCTAAACTCAACAATTTAGTCCTATAGCACTCGGGTACAACTAATTGGTGTAATTTTGACCACGATTCATCGGCAGGCACATCAGCCGGTCGGAATTTCCTCGTAAGGTCATTAGATTTTATATAATAACACACAAATCCATTATGTCTCTATGGTTCTAATACGACCCTAGCAAATAATGGAACTAACGACTGGTCAGATTTTTGAACAGAAATCAACATCTCTCTTGTGACAGGAAGGCTACTGAAATCATCATTCACACGATCCTTAGAATCTGTCTTCACATCACTTGACACATCACTAACAGGTTGAGCCACTAAACCCGCATAACTGCTCTGGCTTAACATCAAACAGTCCATTAAAATCATAATCAAGTAAAACTTCACTATGATCACGCACATCTGTCCCATACGTCACCATTTTAGCTTGACTAAGGGTGACAGCACCAGAAGGAAATATTCCAACGCACTTACTCACAAGGTCTGCAGCAGGGTCATTACTCAAAGGTGTAGACACAACTGGATCCGGAACAACAAGGCTACCAGCTATATTATTTCCCAAGAGGAACATTACTCCCTCAACTGGGAAAAACTCCTGAACCCCTACTGTAAATGGCTGACACAAAAGGTCCATCCGAAGATACACTTTACATAAAGGAACGCAAGTGGTTCCACTAACGCCCCGCAACACAACATGCTCACCAATATAAGCCTCTTCCACAGATGGAAAAGCACTTTTCAACAGAATATTGAGTGAAGTACCAGTATCCCTCAAAATACTCATAGGGATATCAGAACTACCCTCGGACACGGACACAAAACCAGGAAGCTGAAAGGGCTGGAAGAAAACCTTAGGATCAACACAAACTGGGTCGGAAACCGCAGCAACATCATCTACACCAACACCATCTGCTGAGAAAAAAGCAAAATTAGCATCAGGATTGTCATGGGTTTCCTTAGTTTTGGGCTTATAACATTGAGCAAGATAGTGACCAGGCTTTTCACAATAAAAACACACAGAAGTCATACCACCGCTTGATACATTACCACCATGACCATAAGAACCGTAAGGCAGTCCAATGT